TAAACACAAATCGATGATACTTTGATCAATAAAATTGTTAATGAAGAGGAAGAATTTCCTCTGAGAAGTATTGAATTCTGGAAACGATCACTTTGCCCGTGTTCAATTAGATTCCTTTGTCTGTATCAATGAGTCCTATTAACCGTGCAGTGCGATTTCCGTTCACAGTTCAGGAACATTCTGGATTCATCGAATCCGAGTAATTCAGCACATTGTTTGGGCAATTGAATCTGTTCGCTGGCATTTATGCGACTACGTTTGTAAATAGGCGAGGATTACGTTTCCGTTGATGCGATGTGGCATTCAGCAAATTGTAACTATTTATTGGAAGTAAACCACTTTTCTGAAAGAATAGACGACGTTCTTTTTTCTATTTAACGACTGAATCTCACCGGAGACAATCAATTTTTTCTTTCTCCTGCAGATACAGGCGATTAGCTGGTTAAATGTATTGTTTTCTAAAAGTGACGGCGCATTCATTTGAAATTGCGATCAGCGGTATATAAACGGAACGCTGGAAGTTCTATGAATTTTAATCATGGTGTCCTTAACGAATTTTTAAATGAAAATATTCATATATTCTACGATGCATCAGTTCGACGGTGATACAGTTTTTCTATTCGCTATTAATATTTCCGATTTATACTTGAATTTTGTATTAACATAAAGAAATGTAAGTCTCACTTTCGTTAGAAAGGTAATCAAAATTAATTAGCAATAGGTCAATCCAATTGAAATTAAACATTCTTTAATCAAGTGTCTGATAAACATTCATTAAAGGGACTAGCTTATTCTCTTGCTTTCTAGAAATAAAAGCACTCCAAGTATTTTCATTTGAACGCTTCCATTGCAACCTGAAAATGGCGGCCGGTTGAGCGGTAAGATGGTGATGGCGGAACGATGTGATGGAATGGAAGAGCGTGAAGAACAATCAAACCACCCAGGTTTTACGACACCGGCAGTGAGTGATCGCGTAGAAAAGAAAAAATACAAATTAACAAAATAGAACGCTGAAGGGCTCCTAATTTGAACGTTGAAGAGATCTTAATTTAATTGTCACCTTTCAGAAATGCCTCATTTCTCAATTTATCTCAATCCCCTTTGGAAATCTTCAATTCTACCAAGATAAGAAAGAAACGGTAAATATATCTTCATGCTTACGTTCGAAAATAAAATTTGTCCAATACGATCCGTTTTTACTGGGAACCCTTCAACTGTCAGGCGTTACACAGAAATGGCCGCGACCGAGAACAATGCTCCGTTCTTAAACAAGATTCATTTTAATACGACGACTAGCTCTAATTTCAGAGGCAGGAGTCCAGAATAAGAATGTTGTACAGAGGATACAGGCCAAGATAAAATTGGCGCCAGTTTCGGAAGATATATTTTTAGATAATGTATCTGTATATATACACACACACTCAAACACACACACACGTACACACACACAGTGAGAGAGACATAAGAAATACACACGTAACACACACCGACAAACATTCTGCGTCAATTGTTCGGCCGGTGCCCCTTTTTTCTGCGACAGAACGACGTCGAATCTCGATAGAAGTCGGCTGTTTTTTCATGCTTCTTGAATAAATGTACGATGCTTGTTTCATCAAACTAACCGAGACTTCTTTTCATTTTCATCCTTCAACTCGACTAACCGACGCTTTCGAGGAACTGATCGCAGAAAGCGTAGATCGAAAGAGTTGCTAATAAGTGAATAGCAAACAATAATTTCTATAGATTTAAACAGAATTTAGTTTTATTTACAGAAACTGTTGTTCAGTTAACGAATTCGTTGAGAATTCTGAGAATACTTAGAATTATCGTTGAGTTAATAGAATCCTTTACAAAATTCAAGTTTCTTCAGTGTAGCATACTTTTCAGCAAAATTGGTACGTTTTCTGAACGTTAAATCTTCTTTTGAATTGAACTATTTTCCTAAATATTTTACATTGTAATGCAAGAGAATAATATATATAATAGATAATAATCAATAACAATAGGAAACACTAGATAATAATAAATAACAATAGAAAACAGTAGACAATAATAAATAACAATAGAAAACAGTAGACAATAATAAATAACAATAGAGGACAGTATATAATAATAAAAAACAATAGAAAACCGTGTATAATAATAAAAAACAATAGATAACAGTGGATAATAATAAATAACAATAGAAAACAGTGGATAATAATAAATAACAATAGAAAACAGTAGATAATAATAAATAACAATTATTCGCAGCAATCACATCATCGCGAGAACGGTTTACAAGCTCCGTTTCCTTTTCCTGTCTTTCTTTCGAGTTCCAACGACGGAAACTGGCACGAAGAGATTTATACAGTATCCCGCAATTTCGCGACGGTTACGGAATTTCCGTCCCGGCTTCGTGATTCCGCATTCCAGTAACGTGGGATTCTCGGCAAGTTTCAACAGCTCGCAATTTCCCGAGCAACTCCCCGGGATATCGCGTGAATTTTCGACACTCCGCGGGAACTTCGGTGTTGACGTTGCAAACCCGATTTTTGTATTATCTAGTTCATTCGAATTACGCCGGTATTAAGGTTTAACCCTTTCCACTCGGAAATCTTTGACTAGAAATACTTCACATTTTCCAATTAGTTATAAGCGACATTTCTTGAGACGAACTGAATGATAGAACGTGTACAAGTTAACACGTCGATTGCCGCACGATTTTGCCGAGACAAATATAGAAAATGAAAGTAATGTAATATTAACTTATGTGATTGAATTACGTTGTTATTATTGCTGGTTTGAATTGTTGAATGTCAGTGTATTACGTGGTACTACTTGTAATATAGAAAAGTTTTCGAGTAATCCTCGTTTAATCGAATGAATTATAGTAATTCTATTTGGTTGAGGTCACCGGTGACCCCCATGGCATTCAACGTGTTAAGAAACAAAGTTATTGTTTCTATATTTTACACGTTTATGAATTATATGAAGTTTAATATTGTGTGTAAGATTTTATAATTTTGGTATATCGGAGCGAGTGGTGAGCGAGAGTCGCCTCTCGAGTGCAAAGGGTTAATTCTAAAGCTTTTATCGAGGACGATATTATCTTACAAGCTAAGTGAGGTATAGCTCCGCAAATAGGAAGACGCAAATTGTTGTACAAACCTGCCGAAGGCATGCTCGGTTTTACAAAGAATTAACATACCCGGCAGAGAGGAATTAGAAAACGAATGCTACTTAAAAATCCTATGAGTCATAAATTATCGAAACGTAAAATTAAACGGATAATCATTGAAATTTTGTTTTTTACGAAAATCGAACTAATCTGAGAATAATTGTATCTTATAAAATAGAATAAGGTTTATAATGCCTATATAAAACATAGATTTATAATTTATTACTATTTCACATCAATCGTTAAATTCTTCGCAATATCTGCAATAAAACTAGAACAAAATATTCGACGAGCACATTATAACGTTCCTCAACGTTAACATCGAAGACCTCATTACACGATAACCAAAGTGATTAAACTCGAGTATCGTAAAATACCAGGGAAAGCCGATAAAGATCAAGTTAATTTAATCAAAATGAATAATAATTATAAATTTATTGAAATTAATTCCTATATTAAACCGAGCCGCGGATAAGTTGTCCGTTATGAAATTTGGACGACTAATTGAATTTAGGGTTAACCGAGTGCAGTTGGGTAATAATAATCTGCCATAAAATATCGTTGTAAATATGTATGTAATCGTTGGAGCTGTTAACGAGAGGAATCAAAAGGGGTTGAACAGAAGGAGGGATAAGGAGGAACGAGATAAAATAACAGTCGGATAATCGAGTCGCTCGCATTAATCTTTATTTTATGGGATACGTGTCGGTTACACGGGAGCGAGACTCATTGCTAATTAAACGCGTCCTCGAGGCGGGTTCGTCGAGTGCGCGTTCGAAGTAAATCTAGGATCACAATCAAGATTAAAGAACGAGACTCCGTGAGCGATAAAGGCGCGTGTTTATTGGCTCGACGTGCTCGTGGCACGGGGTTATCCGTTTCGAACGCAACCCTAAATTTAGGGGCTGAAACGGTGCAAATTTTAATTTTAATATCGCCCCGCTATTTTAAGCTAATTATCGATCAGCCCGGCGAACTACCTTCAGCTGAACTTCGACGAGGAAACACTCCGTTCATCTTCCGTTTCGACCTATTCTTCCGTTCTGCTGGTAATTCTCGAATAAAGATCGCACGACGAACTTCTTTTTATTATTATTTAACGCTAACTACCGAGCAGTTAAATTGACTTTTCGAAATTCTGTAAAAACTCGGAGAGTCGATCTACTGAGATTTTCATTGTTTTGCCATTCAGGTTTTCGTATTGGTAAATTGATTTCTTTAAGAATTTCTTAGAGAGATATTTGTTATCTTTTTAATAATTGCAAAAGGAAAATATCAGGAGTCATTTTGAATGATCTGGTAGTTTTAGTGTTAAATAACAATTTATCGGAGGAGGAATCTTCGAAATATTCGAAGTCTTCGAGAGGAAATCTGAAGTGTGTATTGGATTTTTAAGTGTTGGAGGGAAAGAGAACTATGTAATGGTTTCTTGTATATTTAAGTAATTAAGATGTTTGTTTGCAACTCAGTGTTCTAAGTATGGGAGCTCGATATCGAGGAAATGGCGGCTTTCGTTCTCGAAGAGCTGAACAAGGTAATTATCGATCAACCTGGAAAACTATATACAATTGAACTTAGACGAGGGAAGTTTCTGTTCATCTTCTGTTTTAATTTTTCCTTACAATCTATTGGTAATTTTTGAATAAAGAAACTATAAGGGCCTTTTCTTATTGTTTATTATTTCAGTAGCATCTTTCGTGTCGATTTATCCTTGCAATCTGTTGGTAATTTACCTATGAAAAAGAAAGATGACACTTCTCTTCCTATCGTTAATTGTTTCAATGATTGGTGAACAATAAAGGAATGATTTAGTTGAACAATAGAAGACAGGGGATTATTAGATTAAATAAAGTCAATATTTATTTCGTGTGCTTCTCGTTTATACAACACTTCAGACGTAAAAGTCATCACTATATACAGCACGTTGGTCTCAACATTTCCACTAACGCAACTATCATTATTATCAGCAATGCAAATCGCAAAGATTGTTCATCATTGTCTGGTGAAATGTAATATACACACTTTGGTTGAAATGTTTGTCAACTGAAACTAAAATAGTGAATTCCCGTAAGATACCGCTGCTTCTCGTGTATTCGTTATCTTTCGGTCGCCATCTTGGAAAAAGAATTATACCGTTGGAACAGAAAGCATCGGTATCTTACGTCGATTTACCGGTTTTAACTATATTCTGAGATTCCCGGAGGAAAGCACTATTGCAGAATTTCATTCAAAGAACTTAACGATTCCACGTTCGAATGACGACTCCCACATTTTACAAACTGTAAAACAGCTGCAGCGTTACGAAATCATTTAACCGCTGGAACAGTTTCGATCGGAAATCATTAATTAATCAATTCATTCCATGCCATTACTTGACTAATCCCGAAAACCTTGAAGGATCAATGAAAATCCAAATCTATGGATATTTATACTTGTCGCAGACAACGATAACCGAGAAACAGCTTCTCTTCTCGTTTTAAATTAATACCTTAAACTCGATTACTACCAACAATCATCGATACTTTCGAAAATATTTCTCGATCAATTCAATTTCCCAAGCCAACTAAGAATCGTTATTTTCATCCTTCCGCTACGAGCTGTTGCCAATATTAAAACCTTACGAACTATTTTACAGCTTTACACCATAATGAAGGTACATCGAAATTAATCTGCCAATTGGGCTAAGTCTTTTGCAAGTATTTCGAATGCTTTCGTGGCCGCCGATCGTGTGTCACGGCAAGCAGATCCCAGAGTTTTCAAGACTTCCGGCGTTCTCCAACCAGGACCCGCCATCTTGAATAAGTTCGCTGGACCCGGGACACCTTACGTCTCGTCGTTCTCACTGGGCCTGGCTAAAGTGAAGTCCAGGATCTCGTCGGACGTCAAGAACCGTACGTCACTGTCCTCGGACAACGCTGACCCGTTCGCGCTGCGTTTGTACGTCTTTCGCCTCCTCAGAACGAAAATCGCGACCATCACCGTGATCGTCACTCCGGTCAGGATCCCGACCACCAAACTGATGATTCCCGGCATGCTGATCTTCACACCGCTGTGATGCAGCTTCTCCACATCCTGGCGCACCACGTCTAGATCTGCGAACAAAGTACGTAGAGTTTCTCTCGACCCTTAACAGATTGCGTACCGGTATAGAGAAATTTCGTTTTTATATAAAGACACTTAGCTATGCAACTTCGCTAATTACCATAGCGTTGGAAGAAATATAAAATTTAATTCGAGTTGATTGTCTATTTAAAACATATTACATAACAATATGATATCTGAGTTTTTTTAGCTATGCAACTTCGCTAATTATCACAGCATTGGAAAAGATATAAAATTTGATTCGAATTGATTATCCATTTAAAATATATTACATAACAATATGATATCTGAGTTTTTCTATGTATAGTGATATAAGTTGACCTCAGTGAAAATTGCCATCGGCACAATTCAGTTTTCTGAAAATTATCCGGTAGCAATGTGTTAACGTTTGTCCTACAAATGAGACTCGTGGTGAAGATTTTCAACATGATTCAACAAATATATATGTATTACTCAGTTCATTTGAATTTCGAAATATTATTCCTCTGCAATCAACTAATATACTTAAAAGGAAGTATAGCCACAATATATGCTTAGATTTTTTCTCTGTTTCCAATAAATTATTAATGACTAAGCAGTCGTATCGATCAGAGTTGAGAAAGAAACCATAGGCCAAGGGGTTAACACGTTATCGCTACCGGCATCATATATTTATGGCGGCCGTAATCTTGTACTTTATAGAATGAAAATGAAATGAATCCTATAGGTATTGTTATTAGAAATTAAAAAGAAATACTTCCTCCTTCCCTGAATTCTATATTTTTCAGATAAACATGTAATTCCTCTTTGTTTTGCTTTGGTCTTTCATTAAAATATACTCTATGTGCATTTGTCCTACATTCGACGAGTACAGGCTCCATTTTTTGATTTTATTGCACGCAGAACGAGAGGTTTCTCAAACTAAATTCCACAGTTAACCCTTCGCACTCTAGAGGTGACTGAGAGTTACCACTTGATTTGATACAGCAAAATTATAAAGTCTTATATATAATATCAAGCTTTGTATAATACATCAATACGTGGAATATTGAAATAAAATAACTTTCCTTCTTAATTCATACATGTTCTCTCATTAATTAGTTTCAAAGAAGATCGTCTGTATCCTATCGGAAAGTGTTGCATATTTCCAGTGAAAAACTTTCGAGTGCAAAGGGTTAATAGGTTAACATGTTGAATGCCATAGGGGTCACCGGTGACCCCCAACCAAATCGAATTACTATAGTTCACTCAATTAAACCATGATTATCTGAAAACATTTCTATATTATAAATAATACTAACTAATGTGGTGACATTCAGAGAGATGAACCTGCAATAATAGCAATGCAATTCAATCAAATGATTCAATATTATATTTTTTCCATTTCAAGGATTTTGTACCATAAAATCGTGCGGCATTCAACGTGTTAAATATGAAATTTTATAGTTTCACTGCATCAGATTAAGTGGTGGCAGTCACCACCTCTCGAGTGCGATGGATTAAACTTTCGCGTTATTATGAACTGGTATTACCGGGAGGAGCGGCTATCGGCACGTATCTCTCGGTGGTGGACGTTTCCGGGACTGGCGTCTCCTTTGTTGTCTGGATCAGTTTCGTAGTTGCGTTGGTCGTGAGGGTAGTGCGTTCCGTGGTTATCAATGGTTTCACTGTTTTCGGCCTAGTTACGTTCGTGACCGGACTGGCAGTGGTCGTGGTCGTGGCGATGGTAGTGGTGGTGGTCGTCGGTGGTTTCAATGTAACGGGGTCGATCTCATCCTTCGGGTATATGGAGATACCTTTGTCGTCCGGCCGCATGGTCGCAATATCAGTGACATTGTCCTTCTTCACTGGTGGCCCGATAATTGCGTCGTGAATCACTGTTGTAACTTCTGTGACTTCTGTGACCGAGTCCTCGGTCGGGCCTGGGGGATACAAGGTTGACAGCGTTAATTCTACGAACGTCGCGAGATGATCTGTGCAGAACGGTGGTCTTTAACACGTCGACTGCCACGAAAACCTTCGGAGTTTCATGTCTCGCTTATTCTTTTGTAGCAAAGATAGAGAGGAACGGTTACTTAGTATTTGGTATCGGAATGCTTACGTTACACTGTTATCTAGTAATTTACGCTATGAAATATTTCCATTCGACGTCAGTTTTCTGACAAATTGTAATTATTGTCAAGTAGTTTGGAAACTCCGGTCATCGGTGACTAACGTGGCAGTCAACGTGTTAATCGTATACACTAAATGGTTGTTAGCGGCTTGCACATTTGCCTTTGATACTTTGACCCTTAGCAGTCCTATGTCGAGTCAGACTCGATATTTTATTTCTATTTTATTGCAACCTCTACCTGTTTTAACGATTTTTTCTATATTTATTTGTAGTATTACAATTGTACCATTTGTAGGTAACATTTCAATGACTACCAAATATTCTTGAATGAATAAATAGAGCGTCATATTAAGCTGTAATTGAATGAACTAACGTCGACGTGGACCTCAAAGTGAGAAACCAAGAGGGTTAATGATGTTTCTTTTGTATTTGTATTGTTTAACCCTTTGCACTCGGAAATTTTTTAGTAGATGTATTTGTACATTTTCTGATGATAAAGACGATATTTCGTGAAACTCGAAGAGAAATCACACGTATAGTCGAGAAGAATGCTATTTTATTTCAATATTTCTCAAATTGATGCGTTATATATGGTAGAATATTAAACATCAAATTTTATAGTTTTACTGTAGAAAGTCAAGTGGTGAGACCTGTCGAGTGCAAAAGGTTAATATTCTTCGTAAACGTGTTGAATATTATGTACGAATATGTAAATGCGAATGTATAAGAAGTATTATTGTTTTATTATAAACTATTTTTGTTATAGTACGTTTATATTATTAGTTTGTTATTCTACTATTTTATAGTGCTTTTATACTTGATGATTTCTTATAATTAATATTTTAACTTTGAGGGGAATATTTAATTTTTTAATCTAGTGTTGGGGATGAAAACGAAATTTCAAATTGATTGGTAATTTGTAAAAACATATTGCTTGATCTGCTTTTGCTTGTAAATTATCATTGGTGGTTATTAATTGTCAGTTTTAATAGTGGTTACCTAGGATACAGTACTCCGCGTAGTCCGGGCAACAAATGAAGTGTTCGGCACAATCGATGGTACAAAGACACGTCTGGGATAGATCTTTAGCAGTTGTTAAATTGCTGGTCATGACATTTTTACATTGTCCACGGCAACTCAGCTGTGCGTTCACCTGTTCTATTTGATCTGAAAGATATCGGACATTATAAAATGCGTAATATGTGGAAATACGTAAATCATTATACTCGATATATTTGTATATGTTATATTCTCTCTACTCTTGATTCGACATTTTCAAATAATTTAGATCAAAGTTGAAGTAGTTTTTCAGAAATGCTGTACCACTAGCTACTAACACACTTTTTATGTTATCAGTATTCAAAACACTGTTAAAGAGATAGCAAAATCATCTTTTATATCTTCATAATTCCCTCATCGCGTGGAAAGAACTTCTACTTGTAAAACTGTGCAATTCTCATCTAAATTTTCCTAAATTTTCCTTTTATATAAATCATTTCCTATTTTCAATTCTCTATTACACGATATTTTACAAAATCTCCAATTTTCTATTACCCAAACTTTCAAAAAATCTTCAATTTTCTGTTTCCCAAAATCTCACAAAATCTCCAATATTTCGTTACCCAAAATATTACGAGATCTCCAATATCCCGTTACCCAAAATTTACCAAAACCTTCAATCCTCTGTTACCCAAAATGTCACAAGATGTCCAATTTCGCATTACCCAAAATTTCACAAGATCTCCAATACTTCGTTACCCAAAATTTCATAAAATCTCCAGCATTTCACAAGACTTCTCCAATATCCCGTTACCCAAAATTTATCAAAACCTTCAATCCTGTGTTACCCAAAATTTACCAAAACCTTCAATCCTCTGTTACCCAAAATTTCACAAGATGTCCAATTTCCCATTACCCAAAATTTCACAAGATCTCCAATACTTCGTTACCCAAAATTTACCAAAACCTTTAATCCTCTGTTACCCAAAATGTCACAAGATGTCCAATTTCCCATTACGCAAAATCTCATAAGATCTCCAGCTCCCCATTACCCAGAATTCCCGAAAGCCAATTCTCCATTATGCAAAATCATCTAAACTTTCCATCACGGTCGAACTGTTAAGCGGAAGCGTGTCAGCCGCGAATCCTGAGGAAATCCGTGTCGCTCCGGGCATCCATTGATATTATTTTCCGCGGAGCGCACGCGGCCGCCGCCTCTTTATTCGACTTTTTAATTAACTGGAAACTGGCTAAACTGGATTCGCGCATTCGCGTGCACTCCGAATACGAGAACAAACTCCTCCGCGCGAGAATTACCATCGTCGCTCTCCGTCACGCCCTCGTTCTCCGCTTTGCTCGTGTTCTGGCATTTGTCACCCTGTAGAATGGCCACGTCGTCGATTGCGATGTCGCTTACGTAAGTGTTCCCACGAACGCCCTCGATTACAATCTGCAATAAACGACGGTGCTGTGAGGGAAATTTCGTATTGTGAGCGGCGAGCACTGTGCACTTCGCGGGGCCATTTTGTTTCGGAGCGCGGGCTGCGGAGTTGCCACGGCATTACCAAGAAATTCCGAGGAACGAAATTGTTATTAAGAACCGAAAGGAATTCGTGCCGGTTCTTCGATCGAAATTCAACACGTTGGCGTCAACTTTAAAATAATGAGTTGTGCCATTTTTATATGCGGTTATTCATATAATTTCCAAATGAAATGATAGGATTATAGAATTTGTAATCTTTTTCGAATAGAATTATTAAATTTTATGTATTTGTATCGTTTTTATTAAATCGAAGGAACATTTAGGCCACCTGTGAAATTAAAGTACCATTTCAGTGTTTTCGGAATTATTGGAAAAATGCTTGACCACTAGAAGATTGAAATATTTAAATATTTTCTTAATTTCTAAATATTCCATAATGCGCAAAGTAGAATGCGCATTATCTTAGAACTTTCGTAAAACGGAATGGAACTGTTCTCATTGTTTTGTAGTTTCAGTGTTAAAATGCTTCATGGTAAAACTGAACTTACGCAGCTCTGGTTGTTTTTAGTTTGTTTATGGAAATATCTGTCAAAGTTTACCTAAATGTTAATTGATTACCTTCATAAAGTGTATCCGGACCGGAAACAGATTTCAATGAGGCAATTCTCCGACGTAAATACCAGGTAGATACGAGATACTTTTCAATTATTGTCTTTCCATCTAAGTATGAACGTCTCCGATGGAGTTCTGTTTTACAACAGTTCAGCGGATTCAGAAAATCGGATTGAAATCAGATAAACGTATAAACCCGCTGTGAGAGTATATCCGAAATAGGCGCATTCAACTCGTTACTCCCACGAAACGTTTTCACGAGAAAGGAGGGAAACCTCCATTCATTCTCGGGTAAACATTAAAGGGGGTCTTCTGGTCTAAGCGTTTAAGAAAATCGATTTTCTTACGTTTCTTCAATCCCTGTGCCGTTCAGAATCAAGACGATATCATAGAATTCGAGAAAGAATCCGTGGAAGTTACGAAAATTTCAAGTGATTAACCACTGGTCACCGAGAATCAATTATAACAGATGAATCTGTCGTTGATTTACACGTTTCCAGCCAACAGTGGAGTCCCAAAGTATGAAACAAGCTTCTGATACAATTGCCACGATAAACGAACACCATGTTAGTTAACCGTGAAGAACAATTTGGTATTTGATAATTTTGTAACATTAAATACATACGTCAGATATTTTAAACGTCGATGTAGACCAGATGACCCGTTTATACAGTATAAATTACTCTCATATTTAAATATTTGAAAATTTAAACATTCAAATATAATTTAGTTAAATTCGTTTAAATCATTTAAATTGAATTTCATATTTAAATGTTTAACTTAAATATTTAGATATTCGATATTAACACCTCGTTTCTATATAAAGACATTTAGCTATGCAACTTCGCTAATTACCACAGCATTTTAGAAAATATTAAACTTGATTCGAATTGATATATTTAAAATATATTCATCTGCACAGTTCAGTTTTCTGAAAATTAGCCGGTACGCAATGTGTTAACCGTTTGAATGTTAAACAACTTTTGTGGATATGTATAAAAAATGCGGAAGTGATTGGGTGTGTGTGCAAAAAAATTAATAAGAGTAGTTATCTAATGAGATCACAAATATTGTGATATTACAAAAGAATATCAAAAAATAACATTTATTCAAATAAATTTACTTCGATTTATTTCTTGGAAAGCATAGTAAAAAAATTATAATAAACATTAAATGAAAATTATAGTGAAAATTATAAGAGTTTTAAGATGACGTGTATACTCGCCAAACACAGTTAACTGGTTAATTTTGATGATTTGTGAACGTTTACTGTGCAGTTTGTTCTATTGTTCTTAGAAAGTGTTCGTTTGATGGAAATTAATGTTGACAGAAACTACTAGACGAGTGAAAATCATTATGCCTGATGTCTTCTTTTTGCAATTATTAAGAAAATATATTTCTCTGAGAAATTATTCAGACGAAGATTGTTGAAAGTATACAAAACCTTTTGCAAATTCTGCTAAATTAAACACTGAATCCTTAAATCATAGAGAATAAGGAAACTGTGTACTGATTGCTTGCTGTTCGAATAGTTAAATCATTTGTTCACAACTGGGTATTCCAAACATGGAAGTTTGATCTCAGCGAAATATCGACATTTGTCCGCAAAGGGTTGAATTACCATGTGATGACTAATGCGTCGACGACAGAAGGTTACGAATTATTACATTGTAATTTGTTAGTAAGTTAGAATTTAGGCAGTGAGCGATCGCATTCTGTTGAAACCTTTACCTGAAAACCCTTCTCAGCTTTGGGGAGATTGAAAATACCGTGCAACCAATGATTCCCCTGATTGCCCTGTTTGGAGAACATCAGTTGGCCTGTGCTGTTCTTCTCCGGCTTGAAATAAACGTTCAGGGCGCCTATGCTCGCTCCAAACATGTGGTACCTGGAATTTAAAGGTAAAAACAAATTACAAAAATATTCCAAGGTATGTAATAGATCTGCCAGCTTCGAGATATCTCGTAGTTTGCATTATAAGTTAGAATTAACTGCTACCTTCCACGAACGAGATTTTCCGAAAAATTAACCCTTTGCACTCGAGGGCTCCAGAGCCATTGAAAATTTGTCGTTACAAACTGTAAAATTTTGTCATTAAATATATTATAACATTTATATCTATAATCTATAGAAAACAGATACATCTATGACTTTTCTTTTCATGCGCGTATTATTTATTCATACGCTTTTTCTATTAAAATTACTTCGAGTTGCTGGTAATGTCAGTGAGAAACAGCTTCGAGTGCAAAGAGTTAAATAAATGACACTAAGTAATAATTAATCATTCGTAATAAATAAAGATATCATTTTGTTCTCTGTGAAATCAATGTTCGCCAACCAAGGCAATACTCTCGTTAACACTAGAACTACCGTTCCAGTCAAAATGACTGGTTTTGATTTGTTTGTCTCGCAATTATTCATATCTTAAAAGAATTCAATATTTGAAATGATCTTGAAAATAAATAGTTTCATTTGAATACTATAATGAATGTCTGTAGAAACTGAAAATAATCTATTGTCACCATTTTTATAGGGATTACATATTAATCGTATGAAATGCTCGGTAGTTCTAGTGTTAAACAAATTTACATAACAAATTCTTCACTGTTCCAGATATAAGATATAATGCAATGGTCAATGTCACTGTTATTGCTGTAGATTTGGCAAATGTAAATTTGTATTTTTATACAGTGTCCGGTACAAATGTTTCTCCAGCGATTTGACTTGGAACGGTTTCCAAATGAAAATTGGATCACGAAGGAATTACCAGAATGAAAAGCAGCCTCCATCTGTGTACGACGCTTTGTAGATTGGAGAAACGATTCTCGCCGTTTCGTTCACCAATCGCCCTGATGCCTCGATGTATAAATAATGCCCTGGAAAATGACACACCTGATTATTACATTTTTATCTCTCTTGTGTATTGTTTACCTTCGGTTACTTTTAGTTCTACTTTCAACGATTTTAATCGTATCATTTTCAGTTTAGCTTCCTTGGCAAATGTTGACTTAATGATAATGATCGACGAAGATTGAATTTTTCATTGAAAAAATATAGTCAGAATAATACTTTGGTAAGTATCACTAAATATTTCTCAGAAGGAAAGTTTCAATGGTTTTTTATAAGCGTACTACCATTCGTGCTCAGAGTAAGTAGAAACGGCGCGAATTGGTCAGGCACAGTAACCAGGTCCTGTTACAACACTCAAATTCAAGTTTCTCGAGTACAAAGCGATGTATAAACATATTTTTGAAACTTTCGGTAGAATTGAACCTTGTATTTCTATTAAAAAAAAAATATATAAATAATGTACAATAAAATTATTTAAAAAATGTAGTTGTGCATTTTTCTTTTCTGATTTATTCTATTTAATCAGTTGAGTCAATGTTATTTTTTCAGAATATAAAATCTATTATATTGTCTGGGATATTTCGAATTTATTGCTCACAGATTTTTGTAACTGAATATAACTGGATATGAAGACACAAATATTAAGTCAGTGTTTCCCAACGTGGGGCCGTCACAATTTGAATTTTAAGAGGGTCAATTTGAAATCTGAAATATCTATCTGAAATCTAAATACTATAAAATAAAATATTATAATATATATTATAAAAAGAATATTACAAAAATATTATAATAAATATTATAAAAAGAATATTATAAAAATATTATAATAAATATTATAAAAAGAATATTATAATAAATATTATAAAATAAAGTATTATAATATAATATTACAAATTATATATATGTTAATAGGGGGACATAAGAATTTTAGAAAGGCTTAGGTGGTGCATGGCACAAAAAAGGTTGGGAAACACTGGCTTAAATGCCAGTTTCTTTTGTTCTGTGAATACCATCGTTTCCAGGTCCCAAAGTATGATCATGGGTAGGTCCAGTCCCAATATGAGAACTGGGCGTCTCAAAGTTGTGTCGTCGCCAATCGAAATCGTGTTCAGGGTCCTGCTCCCACCAGCAGAGGTCTGTCTTCTCGAAGTCGCATTGTGTCGGGGCTTCAGCAGTGGTATCTAATCGAATATTTAAAAAAAGTTTATACATTTAATACGTTACCAGTATTAACACGAATGCCATGGAGGTCACCGGTGACCTCCGACCAAATCGAGTTGCTGCAGTTCACTCAATTAAACGATGATTATTTGAAAACATTTCTATAACACAAATGGTATCTAACGTGGTGACATTCAACCAGATCAACGTGGAATAATAATAATGCGATTCAATCGAATGATTTAATATTAGATTCTCTCCATTTTGCGTATTTTGCTCTGTGAAATCGCGCGGCATTCGACGCGTTAATTCTAATTTTAATTCGATACAATTTTTCATTTTATCTCCGCTATGTATATTGCGTTTAGAAAGAAAAAGGATTGAACTCTTTGAACTTTTAACTTTCAGATAGGACACCGTTTCTCGGAAATATTGGATTCCCAAAAGGATACTTCACATTTGATTCTACATTTTTATCTATTCGCTGGCGAGTGAAACTTTCATGGAAATGAAAATAAAAGGGATATTTACCTCGGCAATGAGGAACTGTACCGTTCCACTCCCTCCCGTCGCAATAAATTTCGGCCGGGCCAACCAGCGAGTAACCAGGCTCGCAAAAGAACAATAATATCGCGCCGTAGTATTTCGACGCCACTAACGCGTGGTCCGGGGTGGGCGGCGTAGAACAACGGGCGTCTGTTCAATTTATTTGTAAGTTAACCATGTGCAATGTGTAATTGTTGTTAAATACAGGGATTGTATGAATAAATATAAGAGAACAATATGTAATCCTGAATTATTGTAAGTTAACCATGTGCAATGTGTAATTGTTGTTAAATACAGGGATTTTATGAATAAATATAAGAGAACAATATGTAATCCTGAATTATTGTTAAGTATAAGAATTGTATAAACGAATATAAGTGAAAAATATGTAACATATAATTTTCGTTAAATATAAGGGTCATATAAACAAATATTAGTGAACAATATGTAGACCTGAATTATTGTTAAGTACAAAGATTGTATAAACAAATGTAAGTGAAAAACATGTAATCCTGAATTATTGTTAAATACAAGGGTAATATAAACAAATGTAAGTGAAAACCATGTAATCCTTAATTATTGTTAAATATAAGGGTAATACAAACAAATATAAGTGAGCAATATACGATTAATTATTGTTAAATACAAGAATTACAAAGCAAACAATCAAAGAAGTAGTTAATCAGGTTAATAAACACTCTGAACAATAAAAAGTCTCTAAAAATCGACGATTTATCTAAGAGTTCCTTTTCATTCGATGCTCATTCCTTTAATGAATCATATTCAAATGAATTCAAAATGAATGCACGCAATAAATTAGCTCGATGAAAAAAGTGGAAGCAGCATCGTATGATAGGAACAATTAAAGTGACCACCGTCGACGAACATTTTAATTGCTGACCGCTGTTACAGTTTTATCAGGAATGATTAGAAACTCGTGCTTACTGACGCATACTGGCGTAGGCGTATCCCACTGGCCTCGAATGCAATTCGAATACCTGTTACCTACGAGAGTGAAGCCCTCGTTACAACTGAACCTGATGATTCTGCCCCTGGTCCTCCCTCGAACCCTTCCGTTCGGCAGCCTCACCGTGGGACATTTACCTTTGAACAAGAAAACATTCGGAAATTACGTGAATCACACAAATGAAAACGATATTACAAGATTATATATTAATATTATAATATTATAAAGCTTTATAATTAATATTATTAATATTCAATATTACGATATTACAAGATATTAACACAAGGCGTACCAACTAATTTTCAGAAAACTGAATTGTGCGGATGGCAATTTTTAATGAGTTCAACTTATATGACTATACATACAAAAATTCAGATATCATATTGTTATGTAATATATTTTAAATAGATAGTCAATTCGAATCGAATTTAATATTTTTTTAAATACTGTGGTAATTAGCGAAGTTGCATAGCTAAGTGTCTTTATAAGAAAACGAGATTTCTCGTTACCAGCAATGAGTTAACCCTTTGCACTCGGATGTTCTTTCGAGTTATTAACGAGTTATTCGAAATTACGTGAATTACGCAAATGAAAACGATATTACGAGATATTAACCCTTCGCACTCGGAAGTTCTTTCCTGTAAATATGCAATATTTTTCAGTATGATATAAACGACATTCTTCGAAACTGACAAATGAGAAGACGTATATAAATTAAGAAACAAAGCTATTGTATTTCAATATTTTACATATTACATACGGAGCATAATGTTATATATAAGACGATAGTTTTGCTATATCGAATCTAGTGGCGACTGAGAATCACCTTTCGAGCAGAAAGGTATTTATATACTATCATACTATCATATTACATACTATACACGTATATATACTATCATATTTTACTGACGATAGAAACTAGTTTTTCTAGAAATATTTAACCCTCTGTCCTATGATCTCTTTCGTAACTGCTTGATGAAACTGCTTCGACGTTAATGATTTAGTAGAAAAAGAAAGACTAGACACAAACGCATTCTTTCATTCTACTTATAGTGCAATGCTTCAATAATTTTGCTCTACTTTTATCGCATTAACAATACAATATATTATAAAGTATTTAAGTACTTAAATAGAAAATTTACGTTAACTCTTTGCACCCGTGACTCTCAGTCACCACTTGATTTGACGCAGTAAAACTATAAAATCTGATATTTAACGTTGAACTTTGTACAACGTCTCGAAATATTGGAATAAAACAGCTTTGTTCTTCAATGTACTTGTGATTTCGAATTAGTTTCAAAGAATATTATTTACGCGTCGTCGAAACATGTTAAATATTTCTAGAAACTTCCAAGTGCAAAGGGTTAAACTTTGGAAACTGTGTTAAGATATAGAAAAACTGACGCTTACAAATGACCAAACGTTTATCGGTAACAATAAAGTAAAATGAAACAATTGAAAGGCAGTCAGGTAGGAAACGATGGACCCTCATTCGAGAAACGACGAAATTGCTGATTCCATTCGAACGCAAACGAAGGCGACGCTGATTAACCGACATGGAATGAAACAGCTTTCTTCTTCTCTTCGCCTCAACGTCCACCATTTCTTTTTCGTTTCTTAACACATTCGCGACCGCTCGTAATTTTCTAAAATCCACAGCTGAATACCGCGACGGTCTGCCATTCAAATGCGCATGAATACGCTATTTTATCGATGCTACAAACATTGACATGGCATAGAATTAAGTGACCGAGATTCTAAGAAAATTAAAACTTACGACTACGTCACCGGTATTCAGAAATTCCAAAGAACTCGAAACGACTAAGACCACACGACCAAACTCGAATACATTAACCCTTCGCACTCGAAAGCTGTCCACTAAAAATATTCAACGTTCCCCGACGAGACACAGACAACAATCTTCTAAACTCGAAGAAAAACTGTTTCGATATCACACATACCGATCGTAAACACAGAGAAGAACGAAAATTGGAGAACTGATTACCGATAAGAGAAGAACCGGATAACATAAGAATTCATGTAAAATGAAATAAACGAAAGAAAACGCGCAAGTTTCAATCATACTTTGAAACCGGTATTCGATCAGTTTAATGTTAATATCAAACATAAAACTTCACGATTCGACTTTATCAAACAATCTGGCGATTGATAGTCGCCTCTCCTAGTTGCGAACGATCAACAGTTCCTTTCTTTCTCGTTGTTTCGTGCGAAACGCGTTTTCCAAGTCACTTACCCGTCAAGCTGATGAAATCGGCGGGCTGCGCAACAATGGCGAGCAGAAGAAGCGGCGCCAGAGAAGATACCTTCATCCTGAGGTGCCTTTGGTGAAGCTTTGGTGTCTGGGTTAAGAGCCGTACACCGATGCGCACATAATTTATGAACAGAAGTCCGGGATATTATGTTCTTCTTTCGCGACACGACTCGATTAAACTTCCGCAGGCATGTCGCCGCGTTAGGGCCGAACGAGGGGGAAAAATGGCACTCGGACCGCGAACGGCGACGGGACGCAGCGGGCTTAACAGACTGAACGAGGAATAAAAAGTAAAATCGCTGGTGCCTGATGATCGTGCCGCGTCCATGAATGGAACAGGGATGTCGCCTTTCGGGGTTATTCCGCTTGGAACGAGGGCGGGAACATTACTTCCGTCGACTCGCTGCCTCGAGATAGCTTTCTATCTGCTTCCTGCCATGGCTATCTCTGCCGAGCATTGCCAGGCCTTGGGGGGAATTCCTGCGAATTCAATTCTACGCACGAGATAAATCCTGAGAGAAAGGATCGTCGCGGTTGACTTTTATTTCGCACACTAGCTAGAAGTTGAAAAACGAGGGGACGTGTCCCGGAATATGTAGAAATTTTACCCAAGAGTTGCTCATTTGTATTCTCTTCCTCATTGAATTTATTTATTGTTGAACTCAATCTGCTAGAGTCTATAACAATGCAATGGTTTGAATATACGAGATTTCGAAGGTGAATCTTAGTTGATAAATAGAAAATATTATTATATTGGAGGGACCGTGGTAAACAAAAACTTAGAGACGCAACATGTGACAAGTAAAGAATGATTACAGATAGTCTGATGGAGTCTTTGAATTGGGGTGAGTCTATCTGATAATGGAAAATCTTAGATACTGGAAATCAGTAAAAATTTGTTAATGATTATTTAGTATGACTGGGAGGTGAAAAAAATGCGAACAAAAAACGATCATGTGTTTTAATATGGTGCTAAGATTTTTTGATCAGCATCTCTGGACCTTGAGGAATTCCTGGATGGAAGAAATACTTCACTTACTTCGATAACTTGGAAGAGAATTCATTTTTTTAATAAAATTATATTTAATATTCATTTTGACTACACTACAAGAACATTATGTACAAAATATGGCATTACAATTCAGATACTACCGAGTTTTCAGTATCAGAATAATTTATCTTACAATATTTCTTTCAGTATAATTTACTTTGTAGTAAATCTTAAATACACGATTAGACAATTCTACATCTTAGTTGGACAATTCCATTCTATTATTATACAATGACTTAATTGTAGTCAAGAATTTATTATGATTTTCATTCTTCTTAGAACTAACGGAGACCGGCTGAACGGATTTCTTTTGGAAATTCGATAATATATCCAATTGCCTCACAGTACCTCTATTAAATTCTTCAATCTCAGACTGAGGAAGTTTATCAAATATAAACGTTTGTTTTATTCGATTCATGGCCTCTTCTGTAAAGAAACGAAATAATATTAGAATTATATGTGAAAAGAATTTTAAAATAACTGAAGATTTTCAACGCTATAACGCAACAATTAAATTTATAGTTTAAATATACTTAAGTTATCTTTTGAAATTAAAATGGAAGGATTCCCATAAAACATTCACGGAACTAGACTTAACTGATGATGAAACCGAACGAACGGAAATGTAAACATTCCTGTCGGCCCGATAAGTTGAAACAAAATTATAGCTCGTATCACAGCAAGAAAATGAAGAAAAAAACTGAATGAGTTTATCAGTAGAACGCAGTTTTAAAATTAGCTCAACCTGACTTCTATAAAGCAAATACACATACACTTACGTTCATTCTCATGGAGGACAAGGTTATCAAAATTGCTAATGTTCCTCAGGAACAAATGAAAAGAGTCTTCAATATCTGATAACCGAATAACAAAATCAGGATCACATATAGTCAAATGAGCAAGAAATCGAATTCCATCTCTCAATACTTTTATCTGTTTTCTCTTTATGATTGTCCAAGTATTTGGATCAGAAAATTTATCTTGATATACTTCATATATACATTTCGTATTTCTATTTATTGGAGACACTGAATGTTTAAAACAAATACTTTTCAAGTTACAACAGTTTTTTTGTTGTAGAGGAAAATGGTCTGAATAAAGATCCCCAATAGTACTCAGATTCACCTCTGCACATTTAGACAGGGTTTTCATAGTGAATCGTAGCAATTTCATACAACAATTACAACAGTCCAAGGCTTCAGATCTTAGGGGAATCACATCTGTTTGCAGTATGTACTGTACAAACTGTAACAATGCGTTTGTAATATCTAAAGCGACTATTGTGTCAAAATGATGGTTCTCCACTTGTGCCAGAAATATTTGCAATGGACAAGCATCTGAAATAAACATGAAATATAAATACAGGTAGTTAAAAATGTACGTAAAGAGTATAAGTAATTAAATGTAAATGTAATTACAGATAAGTTTGTCATAATAACAGTCGTTCATACCTGGAGTAAAATGTAGTGAACCCTTCCAATTGTTCACTGCCGTTAACTCTATAAAAATAATACCTCCATCAAATACAATTTTATAAAATTCATTTAGACTATCAATAACATTGAAACATATACTGAAATAAACTAGATAATAGGATATAAATGAAATTACGTACCGGAATTAACACAGAGTTTCCTTAAGTATGTTGCGGACTTGGTAAATATTAACATTATATTGCTAAGAAACGAATAACAGTATGGCAGAGGTCTACAAAAGACTATTTCCTTAAATATCTGATAAACATACTCCATTCTGAAATACATGAAATGTTATAAAACCACAAAGGCTAAAATAAGTACTTAATGAGGAAAGATATTGTTCACCTACCCTAGAGAGCAATATCCAACTTTTTTATAGACATTATATACAATCATCATAATCGCACACATAAGTCCACTAAACTGATGAGCTCTTCTCTATATAAACAAATAAAACTTTAATATTATCAATATTGCTTCAATACTTGAAACTTCATACTACTTTCAAAATTATAAAAGTACTTTAAAAATATTTAATCAATTTTTTTATTATTAATACTAACTTTAATCTTTTTATATAGCGTAAAATATTTAAAATTTCAAAACTGAAATTACCGTGGAGCCAACTAAAACGACAAACTGTAAAATCAGTTTCAACATTTCAAAATCTTGACCCTTTTCCAACCATGTATTATAACGAACCATCTGCCGTGAATAACTGTGATAACTTGTATCCCTGTCAGTAAGCAATGGTGTCTTCCCAGCAATATATTTACTAAGATATGTCGACTCCAGAGTCACATATGAAATTATGCCAAACACTCTTCTAACTTCAACACCACGCTCGCAATCGTGCCATGCATTGGCATCGCATACGGATTTCCCATTGAAATCAGAATTCAAGTATAGATCAGAAAAGTAAATATCGTTCATGTCTCGTATATCATCATTTCTCATAGCTTGAAAAATTGTCTGGAGAATGGTGATAACATTCAGGATTAACTCCCTCGCAGTAGAGATTAGCTAAAGAATAATTATCAAGGATAATAATCATTTAATTAAAATGTTATATGTTTATGGATAACAAAATTACCTACTTTATTCATTATCCGTATCGAATTTTCTGATTCAAGCTCAGAATCCGTCTTATTTTGAAGGGCTGCTATTTCTGGTATAATAAATTCCGTCGTAAGTTTCTTATCATCTATCATAGTTGTTACGGGTTTCCCAAGTTCCGGTTTTTCTGCAACGACAGATATGAAATCTTACTTAAACTGTTTATAAAACATGAAATATGTTTGAATATTAAATTTGCACCGAATATTCTACAGGTGTCTTCTTCCTGTAAAATTGGTAAATTTCTTCGTCCAGTTTTTTCTATCATTTGTATATTGATAATAGATTTCTCTGGCTGTGGTGTGTCATATATTAACTTGGAGATATTTTTTAGAGGATAATCTGCAAATATATATTTACAATATATTCGGTATATTTCACATTTCACATACTAATTTCTTATTTATTTGTAATCTGCTCACATGGACTCCAGGTTTTAAGAAAATAACTGGTTTTGTCTTGAATAGTTGCTTGGACACATGAGTCTTTTGCTTTCCTTGGCTTTGTTGTTGAAATTAATGTTCTGGAGATGACAACATTAGTAAGCATAAAATTTCAAGAATGAAACTTATTAAATATCTTCATTAAGTACCTGTTCATTGATGAATTAAATTTACTTTTATTCATAAAAGTATTCAAATTTATGGCACGTGGATCTGTTAATTTAACATTTCCTGTTTCTAATAATTTGCAACGCTCCATTAGATTACCTACTTCAAATGTCTATAGAAAAAAATAAAATTATAACCCATTACATAGAATCTGAAATTATTATATTATATAAAACAGTACCCACCTGTAATTCAAGTTGAGTCTTTAGATGTTCTTTTTCTTTACAAATTGTATTAATTTCTGTTCTATGTTGATTTTCTAGCTCCTCAATTAAACGAATTTTTTCCAATTTATCAGTCTCTGCTCTTAACTGAGTCTGTTGTAACTGATTACGTAGAAAAACAGCTTCTCCCTCTTTCGTTATAAAATCATTTAATAACTTCTTATTTTCAAGTTTTAATTTCTCTAATTCTTTCATGTATTTCGTTTCTGTAATTACAAATTAATTAATGACATATATAAACTTTAGCATTGTATACGAAATGATGTCTTATTATATTACCTGCAAAAACTACACCTCCCTCCAATTTAAATGTTGAATTAGAGACTGTTCTATTCATTAATTTATTTTCAAACTCGTTATAATCGACGGACACTATATTACTTATGTCCTTTGATTTATCCACTTCTTGCCTCTGAGTGATATATAAAGAAGATCTTAATGGTTTATTGGTAACATTGTTTGTATTAGAACCAACTTTACTTGTTGATGGCATATTACATCTTTGCATAAGCGACACATTTTGCTGTTTACTTGTTTGAGTCAAAGTAATCTCTTCCTACCAATAAAGATATCATAGATCATATAATTATAATTAACATAGTAAAATTAAATGCTTAAGCATAAACCAAACCTGTAAACAAGCTTGAGATGTAACAAAATCCATCTCTTCAAAGTCTTCCTCTGCAAAATCGTCACCCCATACATCATCAGATTTTCCAAAGTTTTTATTTTCCACCTCTCTGCCTTTTGCAGAAACGTTTCCTTTCTTTGTATCATATTTGGGTCGTTTAGCCGGCACAGAATACTCATTTTCTCTATTATTTTCTATTCGCTTAAACATGTTACTATTGTTCAATATAAATAAATTAATTTGATCGCGGATAAACCTCTTCTATAATTCTAGCGAATTATCGTATTGAACTGAATTATTTACATCGTTCACATAATTCCAATTAATATTCACTCGTTAAAGTAACCTGTCGCTTGAAGTAACAGGTCCCATATTATGTCAAGTTTTAACAGTTTAATGAATTGTTAAAAAGCTATGACATACGATTACTTTCTTCAACATCTATGTTCATCCTCATCTGATTTTTTTGGAATTTTCTTTATTAATCGATGCCGTAAAAATGGTGCAAAATTCTAAAAGAAAATGAAACATTGCTTTCCATATTAACTGTAAATTTACAATGAGAACGCATCAGCATAATTAACATATGAAAACATTGTATTTAATTAATCAGATGATGCAAATGTCACTCACTGTAGGTATACATAAATACACGTGCTATCACAATGTAGGTATACAAGTGCTTATGCACATACGGAATTAAAGGAACTATTGCCGGTAACAAAATAAATACATTGTGAATCTAGTTCTTTTTTTTTGTCACTAGCATTAGGAAATAAACACTACATAGTGTAAGTGTGCATTTGATCATTATTGGTTGTGAAATATTGTTATGTAACAAATACATAACTACGTATAAACATATATATAAAAAACTTATCATTGTCTCCTGATAAGTGTATCGTATATTTCAGATAACCATTTATATAGTAATTCCAATAATATTGTCGATGATGTTTATGTTTTTAATATTTATTTTGGTTATAAAGAGATATGATAATTAACTATATCGAGAAGACGGTATATTTTTAATTTAAATTTTCACCTGATGTAGGTGATATATATATTTTTTATGTATCTTATTGGAAACTTAAATTAATAATATGCCGTCTTCTCAATACAGTCCATTATCATATCTATTTGTATTCAAAATAAATATTAAAAACATAAAGATCATCGAAAATATTATTGGAATTACTATATAAAAGGTTATCTGAAATATACGATACACTTATCGGGAGATAATGATAATTTTTTTTAGTAATCATATAAAAAGTATGAAATACATCTATTTTTTTCAGAAAAATATAATTTTTCTTACATTTAATCGATACTGCGTCTTAAAATAAATTCGACAACATACTAATGATTCATTAACCATCCTATATCTAAAGTATGTTTGCAATAATATTACATAATTAGTGTACAAATACATTATAAGATATACTTTATTGGAGACAATATCAGTATACGAAAAACTATAACATACATAACATATTCCTATTACAGGAAATTGGGAATGATATTTGAACTCATATTTTGACTGTAATAGTTATATTCTATGTTTCATAGATTTATAGATTTCAATATTATATCAGAATATACGAGTTTAAGCTTTCGTAATGCCGACCACGCCGCAAGCAAGACGAGCACCAGCATTGCCTGTGGTTTTTGACAATTCGTGACCACCTTTGCCAAGATCATCTGGGTCAGCATGGACCTGTTTTAAAAAATGAATGCATACGTAAAGTCAGTTATGATCTGTTAAGGATTTAAATATATTAATCAATAAAAAGAAACATCATTATGCATTATCTTACCACAAGAGTCCTGCCAATTATGCTGTGTTCTCCTTGAAGCTGGATCATCTTATCAGTAATGTTAACATTAGCAACACCGTCTGCACCTGCTTCAACATTTCCTAAATCTCCAACATGACGAACATCTGACTGTGGTCCACCATGTTCTTTTCCTAACGGATTGAAGTGAGCACCAGCACTTGTGCATCCTATTAAATTACATTAAAAAACAATTTTTAAAACAAAAGAATTCGCATGTAAAAACAATTTATATGATCAATATGAATATTAATGTCAAATGAATTTTCAAACAAATTTATAATCATGATTTAATTAATATATTAATAAAAATCATGAAACTCTGCATAGAATAAAGTTAATTAGAATGACAAATTATTTACCTACTAAATATTGCTTTTTCATTGACTTAAACTAATTGGGATGTCATTATCTGTTGACCTCTAAATTTATAAATACTATGCATATAAGTTTTAAGAATATAATTGAACCATTCAATCTTTAAAAATATTATGTTGCATTTATCTACCATACTCAAAATTCTTCAATGACATTTATGTGAACGAGCATGGATTTTACAAATAAAACGTACCATTGGTATTGTCACCAAATTCATGAATATGAAAACCATGCAATCCTTTCTGTAAGCCGCTAACTGAACCGGTGACCTTCACAGCGCTTGAAGCATCCTACATAAGAATTACATTACATGAAATACAAATAAAAATCAATTTAACAGTAAAATGTATATAAAAAAGAAATTCACAAATAATCATTTACCGGTTGTTCGAAGTAAAGAGTGCCTTTGGCATCTCCCTGAAGAACGCACACGGCTTTAACCATTTTCAGAAGTTTCTCGACTGATCAAAACGACGATCGTCACTACAATGTTCCCTGGAACAGTTACCGGCAATTTATGATGTGAAATTAACGTTTTGCTGAATCATGAGCACAAACACATTGGCGTGTAACGTAATAAGTACTTGAACAGATAAAACAGTGACCTTACCAGTTCACTTATATACGATGGCGTGTCGCACTAATTGTAAGTCACAATCAATGAACGATTGATTTGCGAAAATTAAGGCTGTCACAAGAAATTGCAATGATTTCATGGAAAGAGGAATTAAATAGTTTTACTGGAAAGACGCCTTAAACGTAATGTTTACTCCATGCCGATTGTAAATGCAAAACTACAATGTATATACTTCATGACAGAAAAATGTCATAAGCTAACGACCAATAAGAACGCTAGACAGGTGTCCAATCAGAACACGACATAGAAATGCAAAATCTGTTTCTTTGAATATTAAATTTTCATTTAATCATTGTACAAATATCTAACTTGGGCATCGTTATAATAAAACAGTTAGTAAAACCTATGCTTTTTTACTTAATTCTTTAACGTTTAAACTAACGATTTTAATATAGAAAATTTAAACGCGAATTTTCAATATATCTTTCAACATTAACGCGCGCCACAAAACCAAGAGTTGTGATATGCGGACATTTAATAATTAATTTACAGCGCCAAGATTTATACGCGGCTTTAATGGCAATTAATTTGTCTTTCTAGCGCGCGTTCATTGCATTCGCTTTGTTTTATAAGTAACTATTCTTTTGGACGAAATTTATTTCGCAATATACGTATAACAATCTGAAAAGAAATTATTTATATAACAAGGGAATAATTTTCGATTTGAAAAAATTGTTTAACGTAGTTTCGTTACTGCAAGATTAATGATCCGAATAAAAGAGTATCCTACTTTTTACTACAATCAGCGCAGTTTTATTTTCAAAATCGCATTGTACTAATGTTTATATCACAGAATCTTGTTATTTAAGAATGTCGTTTTTCATATTTAGTGTTTCCAGAAAGAGAAGAGTGGGGCAGAGATGCATGTATTGTGTTCAGCGGTTACGCAAGATAAAATGTAAAATATGTTTAATATAATAAATGAAAAGATTTATCTTATTTTTATTTTCAAAACTGAAATATACATCGATTATAATACGTTGCAATGAGAAATCTAAAGAAAAATGAATTATAAGCGAAATAGTGAATAGATAAGAAATGAAAAAATACCATGATTATATCTGCATCTATGTCGAATGAATATGGCGATTCCATAAAAATGGGTTACCTTATTATTACAAGTGACTGTAAGCTGGGTTATCAAACATACGAAATGTTCCCGACAGCGTGTACGATTACAGGCGTTAGTTAAAGCATTCGTAATGCGCAAGTCGCTTAATAAATATGCGATTTGTATTATCACTGTGTCCTTGCCGCGTAGGTGGACGATTATCACGATAAGTAGGACAATTTTGACAGGGAAACTTGGTTAGTTGAACTGTTGCGAAAAGTACAAGGAGCACCCTGTTTTTGTAGTCATTAGTAATAAGACGTACTTCAAAGAGGAAGGATGCATGAAATCAAATCTCTGATGAACATAAAAGTGGTTGAAATATAAACTGAAAAATGAGCTGGTTACGAAATAGTCCGCTGAGGACTAGTTTTAGCAAGCAACGATCAAGAGACTCTCCACCAAAAGACGCTGATCCATCAGCATGTTATGACAGCTTCTGTAAACATTGGCAGCAAGCTTATGAAATCATTTTACATACATCTGTGAGTTCGATTTTTAAAGTTTCAGAGAAATTAGAAAGTGTTTTTGAATGACGTTTTGCACTATGTCTTTTTATTTATGTTTTTCGTGAATGAAGAGAATAACATGAGTGTGTACAAAAATGATATATAATTATATTCTAAATCAACTTGATCCACTATAGACAATTGAATGAAACATGTTTTACATCTATTTTTTCTTATCACATATATCTAGCTTCTATTAAATTGTAAGAATGTTGGTATTTATGTAAAAAGTTAGGGAAAGCTACAAAATCATATATAATTTTAATTAAATATATGATTATGTTTATACAGCCGCCTAAGGGAATACCTAACCAGGATGATGTCCTCGGAGTCGTCAATCATATAGATCATATGGTAACACTTTTAATATTAGAATTACGAGATTCTCGTACTTACAACAATTATCGACAATCTACGACAGCGACACATTCTCCTTGTTTGGAATACTTGTTAAGCGAAAATCTTCTTGTTAAACTATATGATTGGAGCATACATACTGGAAGGTAGACATTTTTTTATATTATGAATAATTAAAACATTATATTCTGATCTTATTGCTAGAATAGTGTTAAATGTATTAATTGTTTAATTGACTAATTAAATAAAAACGTTAATTACTTACAACTTTATTATTAGTTAGTTTATTGAGCTAATGTAGATAAACAGTGTGACAGTGATTGTTCTTTATCATATTTATGAATGAAAAGCAGAAGTTCCTATATTTGACTTCTGTTTTGTTTACTTTATTGTTTTGTCCCATTTATGACTGTTTTCAACATTTGCTATCACTCAATTTATTTCTACATATTTGTAAGTTATTATTATCATCTATTATCAGACTTTTGCTTGGTGCATGTTAAAAGAAGAAAACCTGTTAGATTCTGATAGGTAGAGATAATAAAAATAAGTAGAGATATATATTGACATATATATGTTACAATGTTGTTTACATTTCACTTTAAAATGTGAATTGTCATTGCAGATTTAACAATGCTGTACGTTTGGAGCAATTAAAACTTTATGAATTATTAGTATCGCATAGTAGTATTCTTCTTGCCCATGAACCAGTTGCCAGACCATTGTTACGATTACTTGAAGATTGTGCAAATGATATCATGCCATTAGAAGTAGAAAAGAAACTGGTAGTGTTATTAAATCAATTATGTGTGACTTTAATGCAAAACATGGCATTACTTGATTTATTTTTCCATCCAACGGCAGTAGGAAAAAACAAGTTGGTAGAACATTCATTTTTTCTTTAGAAAAATGTTTGTTTAATAAATTTTAATCTACTCTTAATATTGATGTACTTTTCCAGATTTATTATCTTTACGTTATTAATACCACATGTACATAGAGAAGGTGGTGTAGGACAGCAAGCACGTGATGCCATGTTACTTTGCATGTCTCTTTCCAAGAAAAACGATGAAGTTGGAGTATATATCGCAGATCATTCTAATATATGTCCTGTATGTACTATTTGCTAAAATTAAATTGATTTAAAAATTAATAGAATTCGGAAGATTTATAAATATAATGATGCATATCACATCTTGTCTAAGCTGTGATTTATACATAATATAATACAAATTTTATTTAATCAGGTGTTAGCAACAGGGTTAAGCGGATTATATTCACTGCTGCCTAGAAAGTTAGACATCGAGACAAATGATTGGCATCGATTGACACCAGACGATGTTAATGATTTACCAGCATTGATGCATCTAATGAATTCTTTGGAATTCTGTAATGCAGTTGCACAGGTTGCACATCCTTTGGTTCAGAAACATTTATTGGAATTTTTGTACCATGGTTTTTTGGTACCTGTTATGGGACCAGCTTTGTTACAGGTGAGCGTACACATATTTTCTATTAATCAATGTAGTCGAAAACAAATACATGTTTTTATAAAAGATTTATCACTGCATTTACGTAAATAAATGCATAATTTTTTATTGTGTTACAACTATAAAGGATATCTAGTAAAGTTTATATATACAGGCAATTTTTTACATTATATTTGCATGTGGTGAAAGAAGGTATTTACAAAGTGTCATTAGTTAATTTTATCAAACGAAATTGAAAATAGATCATATTCGAGTTACATCATGAATACTTCTGATTGCATAAATTAATTTATTCAAATATTTCGTGTTTATTAAATTATCGTAATTCACATTTTCTATAGAAATTATATCCACCTAAATATTTATTTTGCTCGTTTATTTAAAAGAATTCGTTAAATAAGGTATGGTCTTTCATACAATTTATATCACATAGACTGTTGTAGGCACATACTTATACAATGTCTTAGCTAAAACATGTGTTGTCAAATGCATATAGAATTGTCAATATGGTGATGGTGAATCTACGTTTTTGTGCCTAATGCTAGTAATATTCAAATTGTTTATGTTGTAATATGGTTGTGGTGACTATCCGATGATATTTTTATGGTGTTCAGGATTCTCTTGGTTTGACCATAGAACAGCTAGATGCACAAGAACATTGGGTTAGTACGAAACACCTTAATTAGTACGACAATTTAGAACAGTGAATAAAATTTCAGTAAAGCTTACATAAAAATATACATAACATGTGTAAAGCGTATTTGTAACTTCATAAATATGTAACTACATTAAGTGTAGTCAACTGTTTTTTTGAAATATACAATGGTATTAAACTATGAACATAAATTTGAAAATGAATAAGAACAATTAATTAATGAAAATTTAAGCTTTTACTGAAATATTATGCCTTAACATATTACATCTTTAAAATACATGTAAATAAGGCAATAACTTATGAACCACATACACCTAAGCTACAGTCTTATATATTGAATAAAAAAAGGGTATTAAATATAATTAATTCTTAATATAAAAAAAATTATATATTTTTGTAATATATTTTTGTATGATATGTGGTTTAGAAGTTAAAGATGCGCTTACAGTACATTAATTTAAAATTCACTAAAATTGTAACCTTCATCATTTTTCTTGCTTTTCATCTCATAGGTAAAGTTATGTATTATTTCTCTAATTATAAATATTTACATATCTACTTTTCCTGCTATGCTTAGTTATAGATATGTATAACATAATTAAAATACCATACAAGGTGTGTACCAGTGGTGGCCAAACCTTATTACTATAAGAAACGTATGCTTATTAGAAATAATCAACTGTTGCATCCTCTACTGCAATGTTACTTGGAGCTTATAAAAATACAGAAGTTACAATAAAGCTTTGAGAATCTGTATGTATTCTACAAACGGTAGTTTGGCCTCCATGGGTATATACTATTTTCATTAATATTGCTATGTTACATTTATAAACATTGATTTACATTTATTATAAGCCATGAAATATTGAACTGTTGTGCCTATTAAGAAAAAGTACTGCTTTCATGTTATAATTATGTTTTTAATTAATTACATAACTATTTATGTGTGATAAAGGATTTCAGAGATTGTATACCATTTGAAATTATTTCGTATTAATAAAATGGAGTGTGTGTTTGTTTTCAATTAAACCAATTAACTTTTCACATATTTTTTTATAAAGACTAATGTCCTTCTTTTACCACAAAATAAAGGCTTTATATTATATTGCATTAACTGTTAAATATCCCAAATCATAATTTTAGTATTAGGTACAGTAACAAGCTTTTTCTTTAATTCAAAATTTTGAATATACTTTATATGTTAATCATGAACTTTTAAATATTTATAAATATTTTTGGAGAATAATTTGAAAAGATATAATTATTTAATGTGAATTCGTATGATGTTATAGATGACTAACTTTTTAATCTTACAGGCAACTGTGGATGAATTGGTTGCAGCCACAGCTTACTTTGATTTATTTCTACGATCTGTAACCGAACCTGGTCTTTTACGTTCACTTGTTCGATTTTTATTAGAAGATAATTATGATGAGTGCAGAATATTAGATAGTCTTATCCAGAGGATATCATCAAGATCGAGGGTATATTTTTAATACTAAAAAATAGAATCAGCATAAAATATAGCGTAAAAATAAGTTATAATTTCTTTTTAATATTTTTGTATTTCAGTTATGTATAGTAACCCTGGCGCTATTTGAAACTTTGGTCAACTTAAATTGTGAAGATGTTATGTTAGAATTATGTTTAGCTGCATTGAGTCCTTGTTCTCATGTGATGCTTTCTCAGCGTAGAAGACTAAGGGATATAGATCCATTCGGACGTGCCGCTGAAAAGTTTTTGTCGTTAACGCCAACCTGTTGTTCACCGCTTGCATCTGTAAATTCTCAATTCAATTCATTACCTAATAACACAACGCAAGAAGAAAATTCAAATACTACGTCTGAATCTTTCAAGTCATTGTCCACGTCTATAAATTATGGTGCAAGAATAACGGATAGTTTGTACGGAAATTATCATGCATACTTATGTGATGCTCGACAAAAAATAAGAGCTTGTCGTATTGCCTGTTCCAACTGGTCATGTCAATATAACGGAGAGTTATCAATGCATAGTACCACTAGCAGTGCGACAACTTTAATAGACGATAATGCGTTAGCGGATCAACCACAAAAAAAAGTTGAAACAACCAAAACTTTATCATTAGAAAGATTAAAACCGTCAACACTGTTAAGTGGAATTACCGAAAATTCATCAATAGATAATATTTTAATTAATATTCAATCGTTGGTAGATGGGAAGGAATTAAATGCGAAAGAGAAAGAAGAAGAAAAGATGGAGACTGAAGCAACAGGTATAGAGTTGTCATTAGAGGAACAAGCAAAATTGGATGCAGACATTGCTGAATTGTTAAACGAAGACATTGAAATATTAGAATCTATTAAAGACATGTCATTAGTAGATAAAAAGGAACCTGATAGCGGTATTGATGATTCCAATACCGCAATGAATTCACTTTTATCATTGGGGGAAAGTAGTGGATACGAAAGTTTTGCATTTAAGGGTTCATCAGAGTCGACTCCAGACAATGAACCTAGCGAAGATCGAATAAGTGAGCAGGACAAAATAGAAATTGAATTAAATAAAGATCACGGTATTCTTCTTCATAATGTCATGGAATCGAGTTCAATGATATCAGAAGAATTAACAGCGACTAAACAAAGTAAAGATACTTATCGTCAAGATGTATTTAATGGGCAGCCTAATGTCGGTATATTTTTGGATGTTCTTCTAAGAAAGCTAGAGTGTATGACAAGTAATAATTTATATGTTAATTTACACTTAACTGGTCTTATCAGTAGATTGGCAATATACCCTCAGCCTTTATTACAATCATTTCTCCTAAATCATTCTTTGGTATTCCAACCTAGTATTAGGTCGCTTTTTCAGGTTTGTAGCCACATAATTATGCCATATGTAAAAGTAAACGATAAAACTTTATAGTGTTAAACAAAATGGTTTTGCCTTTTAGGTACTTGCCTCGTTAAAGCATAAAATAGATCAGTTTCTATCTCAGCATAACAATGTAGACGTATTAGTAGAACAAGCACGATTATTTCTCATTAGTCGTGAAGATAAATTAGTAAATGCCAGAAAAAATGCACTAGAAGCTGCTGCCCATGCTGCACCCGTTAAAAGAAATTCTTTGAGCGGAGAACCATTTTCAAGAGGTATGATTCGTTTCATGATTACTTTTATAATGTAACATAGTTTCTTACACCTTTTATTGACATTTACGTTTCATATGTGCGTGCATTACATAAGTTAATATCGAATTATTTTAACATCTGTTTTGCTCTCTGGAAGTATTCAAACGATGTAGGTATAATCATGAAAAATAATGCATATTGTTTGGCCATTATTATTAAACTTAAATATTAAATTTAAAAATGAAACTTAAGGTATTATGTTTTCAGGTGAAAGTAAGAGGTGGAGTTTTACATCGTCCTTTACACAAATGCTTAGAAGATCAAGTAATAACTCCGGTTCGAGTAGTTTAAGCAGCACTGTTAATCAACCAACCGGTGTATCGGAAGAACAGTTAGAAGCTACTGGACATGGTTCCGGATACCGGTAAATATTTTTAAACTTAATGTTCTTTATGTAATTTATTATTCTATAAACTTATATATATATATATTTACAGAAACGTTATCTCAAATAAGTAAATAGAATTATAAACCTTTTTATAAAAAATGAATCAATTGTTTAAGGATTCTATTAATAAAATTGTTTATTTAATAGGTATTATACGAAAACGTCCTGGGAATCCCCAAACGAAGTAAGTCCAGTACAAAATGTGGTCTTATGTGCAGTTATATTAGACGAATGGCTAAAAGAATTAGCTGCTATTACGCAGGAACATGCCATTATGTCGTTTACGCATAGTTTGGAGTCTAAAGTGTAATGTGTAAGATCATCACATTTACAAATTAAAATTTAGTCGACAATAGAAAGAATATATTCAAAATAATTTTCCCTTTCACAGGGTTTTCACAAGTAAATGTGATATATTGTTAAAATTATAAATTATGAGTTCACATTCTACTGATTAGAATGATTTTATGTAGAGTTATTGTTTAATGAAATGTAAAAATTATATACAGGATGTTGCCTGCAGATACAAAGAAAAAGATAATTATGCTATCTTATTTTACAAACATAGGTGTTATAGGCAAAGTAATTGCCTTTTGAATTTTTAGATGCATTTTTATTTCTCTTAAAGTTGTCATTTGTATACAGAATTAAGTTATTCGATTTTGTATTAATGATGGAGCATAATGTAACAAATTTTCTGTAATACGTGTTCTTAAAGTACTAAGTCCTTATAACCGATATCGAAAGAATTTTATTATGAAAACTGACATTTAGAGCAATTTCCTGTTCAATATACATGTATTATTAATTAACTTTTTATTATGTATGTTACAAATGAAATCACTTTACTTCGATTCTTTTTGAATGCACACAACAATTTAACTTAAATAGTTAAAGAATATACATAAATTAAAAAAGTGCCAAGCCAATACCTTAATATGGTATAATATATTTAACATTTTGGAAATTGTTCCAAATGTTTTTCACAACTTAACGATCAAATAATTTTTATGAAAAATTAGTTTTATAAAAGAAACGAGTAATATACGTAAACATACGACATTAAAATATTTTACACTTAAGATCAGTGCATACTATAAAAGAATTAGAATTTTTATCTTCATTATTTGTACTTAATTTATTACACGAACAAACTTATGCAATTATTGATTAATCTGTGTACAGAAGTATGTTTTAAATATTTAGTAGCACAATAGTTTGATCGTTGCATATGTAACATCATATTTTCAAATAAAAGCTTTATCACAGCTTCTTTCCAAAAATTATACATTTAATGAAACTAATTTCTATTTAATATTTCTATAAATTTTTCTCAACGATTAGTTTTATGATCATAAATTATTGAAAATCATAGTTATATGTGAAATATTTTCGTAATTTCCATAAAACTTATGTTGATTCAATATTGAATTTTTGGAAAAACTGCTTATGGTTGAAGGGTTGTTTGAGAAAGTAACATTACATATGCATCAGTCTACTATATATAGGGTAATTCCGGGTGAGATGGCACTGCGCTTGAGATGGCCCCATCTCATTAAAATTGTCAAATATGTTCAATTTTTTTGAGTGGTATACTAAATCTTGTACAGAGATCTATTTAACTATCCTTCTTATATAGGTATATTTATTTTCATAAATATGTTTTATTTTTTGTTAGGTATAAATAACATTTATGATGTACACCTGGCCCTCGATTTACGCGAACTCCATTCCACGTGGATTCGTTTCACGCGAATGAAAATCGCATAAATAGAATCTGTTGGTACAAGAAAAAATAAAATATTGGAAAGAATAGTTGGTATAAGTTTTAGAAATACATATTTATTTCACATAGCCCAACAAAAGAAACAATAATTATGATATTTCAGAAAATGAGAGTCAGGTGTATTAATCACGTGTATCTTTTTAAAAAAGTGGTCCATCTCTCCCTCACTTACTCTAGACATAAATTTGTACCTCAAATAATGACTTTAAGTAGACGTAATTAATAATTAATATATAAGTCTATGTTGAAAGAATTTAATGACATAAAATACATTCAACGACACTCATATTTTATATCAGTTGAATATAATAATTTTGCAATAATTTTATTCATCTTGTATTGTATACAATATAAGGGGTAATTAATTTTCACATTATAAGAAATAAAACCTAACTACTACTTACATTACAATATGACAAACCGAAAGTCAATACTTGCCAATATTATTGCACAAATATTTAATGCTTGCCTCTGTATGAATAACATATCAAAGTTTAATTGTTAATAGATCGAATAATCCAGCTCAATTTTGTTGATAAACATTAGACTTCATGTATATGATATATGAGTGCAATCGTTAACGAATTATAATAATTAAGTGGCAATTAATGGCAGTGACAGTGCAAAATGTATATCAAAAAATATTATAATTGTATATTATGTTTAGAACTTTATGGAACGAGATATTTTTTGATCACTTTAAAATTTACATTTAGTATACAATACTTGCCGTAATGTGATATTAAACTAGGGCCTCGATAAATTTTCTGACCTTTAATACCTTTATTTTTGTTTCATTCTAAAAATATTAAATGCATGTAAAATATTTCATAATATTGAAAGAAATGATGTGTAATTAAATACTATTATCAGTTTTATGTAATTTAATGATTGCTTAAAGTGTTTGATTATAATGCATGTTATGATATTATTTTATTTAATTATATTAACAGTTTTTAATACAATGTTAACAGTAATAATTTGTTTATATTTATAAGAAATCGTTAATAATAAATAATTTATTCATAGTAACATTTTAATGATTATTTTTATAAATTTTCAAATATAACGTGTGTTTTCTTCTACAGAAAATGTTTCATATGATATAATTCATCAAATACATGCAGTATTTTCAAACAACTACATGTGCTTGACGTTTATTGGGGGAAAGCAATATCATATTTATTATTAATTTAACTTCTGAATTTTTGTTACGTTTAAAATTGTTGATATATTAAAGGAATAAAATATTCTATTGTGATGACTAGATAATTTCTACATAACTTCAATAATATAATTTTTTAACAATTAAGTAAAAATATTCGCCTCAT